TCCACCTGACAAGAAGCTTAGAATGGCCAAGTCAGCAGAAAAACTGATGTGCTCAGTTTTTTGGGACTATTCTGGTTTAGTCCACATTGAATTCATGGAGTATGGAGAAGTAGTCAACTCAATACAATATGTTGAGACCCTAAAGAGACTAAGGAAGAGGTTGCATAGAATTAGACCTGGAAAACAAATGATACTACAGCATGATAATGCAAGACCGCATACAAGTCTCTACACAACAGATTTCATAAGAGATCAAGGGTGGTCATTATGCCCTCACCCAGCCTACAGTCCTGATTTGGCTCCCTCTGACTATTATCTTTTTGGGAGATTGAAGGACCATATCAGAGGATCCCATTATGACAATTTGGAGGAATTGAAGACAGATGTCAAAGATTTTCTGAGGAGAAAGCCAACCTCATTTTACCCGAACGGCATCACTCTACTTCCTAGCAAATGGCAGGCTTGTATAGAAAAAGGAGGGGACTATTGAAAAATTAAATTATCAATATTTGTAGCGTATACTTTAGGCTTTAACATACACAAAAATTAACCACATTCATCAAATATTTCTAACAAAAAACACACAGTGACTGAAACTTTTCATTCGTACCTAATATTTTACATGCTTGAACTCTATTATTTGATGCAACTTATACATGTACATCTTAAAACCTATGCAAGAAAATGCTATAACATTGGCCAAACATAAGTCTGATTAGTCAGCTTGAAGGCTTATCTTTAATTATCAATAAAGGTTTGGCCAAGTTATAATTTAATTAACTTGCCTAGGGTGTGGCCAAGTTATAATTCAATTAACCTTCCTAAATGTTCAACCTTGTAACATCCTCTTACTAAACATAAATATGAACTACACATTTCGGCAAATGTAAAGTGATGATTGGATGTCAGAGGCAAACCTCAAAGTATATAAATCCTCACTATTCTCATTTGGCCTGCAGCTTCCATCTGGACCCAAGGACCTGGGAAAATCATCTGGAAACAACCTCCACTGGAACCATCCATCTACTCCTCAACATTAGAAGACAGTTTGGTAATTTGGCAACCTGCTTTTACAAACTATCTACTCTGCTATCGAACTCTCATATTGTTACTTGCTTAAGTATTATTATTGCGAATAAACCGTTTTAATTTAAACATTTGTTTAAAGGTTCAAGTAGAACCAGTATTGTTATAACTTGCAAACGCATAGATTTTTCCAGCAAGAGCAGTACACCAGGAATAGAAAAAAATTGATAAAAAGGGTCTTTCACACATTTAAATGTGCCATCCATAAACCATATTTTGCCTTTAGATAATAATTCAATTTGCTTTGTAGTTGAAAATATTAGTATTCTATCATTCTCCATTTGTATATCCATTTGTAAAAAATCATCAGGAATAAAAGTTTTAGCCAAGTTGAAGTGAATACTTTGAGGTTCAGCTGGTCTAAACTTCTTTCTTGTCCAGTTTGCCAGTCTTGTACAATTATCTAGAGATGGAGTAACTTCACTAGAACTACAATATTTTACCAGAACATCTTCAGCTAAACATTTTCCTGAACTACTGATATCTTTATTATAAGCATTTTTTAGTTCATTCCTAATCATTATTTTTTTTCCAGATCAGGTACTCTTTCATGAGAATGGGATAACTTTCCAGGATAAAAACTGTTCCCATGCTGACTAACTGTTGCTGAACATTTGTTTCTTTTGTTCTTAACACTGCATATCCAGAATGTTGTCTTGTTTCTTTTTTCTTTAATATTGTAGCAGAAATTGTTGAAAAGTAGCAAATCTTTTCCTTTCTGGCTCATTCCCTTTAAGATTTTAATGAATAACTTTCTTTCTCACAATCTGATTTTGGAGAAACTTTAAATGAAACTTCCATCATATTATTATGTGGAGCTGGAAGATCTTCAACTAAAACATTGTTTGATTCCATAATACTACCATTTGTATCATTTCCACTTGAATTTCCACAATGATTTTCACAAACAATAGTTTGCTCATTTCTATTATTTACTGTATGAAAATTTGGTGTTTGACTTATTTCTTCATTAACAGATGCACTAGAAGGTAGCCTTGACAGTGTAACAATGCATTTCTTCATTGATATGTCACAGTAAATGTTACAATAAAATGATTGATCTGTGAAAAAACATAAAAGCATATTTGTAAGGATAGTGACAAAAAACTTAAACAAACCTTTATATTCCAAACATTTCTTGTGTATTTTAAATAAATGACAGCAAAGCTGACATTTCTCATGATTCTGTCTTCCATATATTCTGTCTTCACAAATGTAACAAATTGGTGCCATGTTCAATTTGGAATCTCTTTTAATGACCAGCTGTTTAAATTTAAAAATTAAACAATTAACAATAATGATAAACAAAATGGCTGCTATAAAAATAAAGCTAATTTAGAAATAAATCATTTCAACACAATATTCTATAACTTACTGATATCAATTCTAAAGTTTGTGTTTTGTCTGATGGTTTTCAATAGTGAAATAAATTTCAAAGTGTAAAAAATTCTGAAAAATTGTAGATGAAATGTACACAATATTCACTTTCCATGAAAAACATAGAAGATCCCAGCACAGTTTCCTGTCTGGATTTCAAGATGGCTACCAAAAGTGATTGCATTATGGGAATGTATTGGATATATCTCAAAATCAATAATAATTTAAATTTGAAAAAGTATTTTTTAATATTTTCTTCATGTAGTGGACGTTTTCTCCATAATTCCTTAGCCCAAAGTGTTTATCAACAGTCTAGAAAAAGTGAAAAAATGAAATAGTAACCCAAAATAAGAATTGAACACCAAGACAAGAAATTAGTGATAATTATCAAATAGATTACAACTGATATAGCTTTACTGGAATTTTTAAAGTGTTTGAAAATTTTTTCAGTTTTTCTTACTTTTATGATAATTCTAAAATAGAGAATTGAAACAATTAACATTATTATTAAATTTGGCAATGTAAATATGAGTAATGAATATATAGATCCATCAGAGTTTTCACTTCTAATGTAAAGTTTAAAACAAATTGTTTTTGAAGAAAAATATTCCTGCATTGAATAACTTTTAGATAAAATTAGAGTAAAATGTCAAGAATGTCGAGGTTGTTGAATAATTGCCATAGATTTGTAGTGTATATCCTACTTAACCTTTGTCCAACCTTGGACCTTGCCCACATTTTGTTAATAGACAATCATGACCTCAAAATAACCCCAAAATTTATCAACAACCCCTAAAAGGAGAAATATACATTACTTTATAATAGACTATAGGAAATACAGCTAAACCAATACACATGAATAAATTGACAATTGCCAATGGTATTACTGCCTTTTTTCCCAATTTTTTCTTGTTGACAGACATAATTGCGTAATATCTTTCAAATGTTATTAAAAGTAAATTTGTCATTGAGAATATTAATGAAAAATTCAGATCATGGAGATGGAACACATCACCCAGCACAGAACCCAAATGTTGAAATCACAACAGTAATTCAAGCATTAAGGGCTGCTTGGGACCGCCCTCAAAGAACTATTCTCAAGTTGTATGATGGAAGCAAGGAGTGTTCAAAATTCAAGGAAGACTTTAATCAGGCATGTTTTGCTTATGGTTGAGTTGGTGAAGATGTTGTGAAAGCAAATCTTTTAGATTATTTAACTGGTCCTGCAAAGGATTTGGTGTTGGCTCTGGAAGGAGAGCCTACTGTAGAGGAAATATGGAAAGTCCTCCATGACGAATTTGATCTGGATCCTTTGGAGTATCGAGAGAAATTGGTTAACTTAAAGCAAATGAATGGCAAAAGTGTGGTTCAGCTTGTTAATAGAGCAAAGAAATTGATAAAGAGGTTTTCTCCACCTAGACCAATGGAACCACAATTGCTTGCAACTATGAAAGAAATAAAACTGATGGAAGTTTTACAAAGAGGATTACAACAGGATATTCTACATTTGATGTACACCTTACATCCTAAATGTCAAACATTGGCAGAACTATATGATGCTGCTAAGCAAGCAGAAACTTCATTAAAACTAACTCAAAGAAAACCAATCACAATGGTGTCAAAATTGGAAACTCAACAAAGAATAGAGCCCAAAAAGACCAAGGTGATTAGAAAAGATGCTTCTACAGAAACCCCAACTTTTTGGAATAGAAAGCATGTACCTGACAACAAAAATGCTACTAAAGAAAAGTGTAGCTTCTATTGCTCCATTTTTTGAAAAGGTTATTGGTATTGATATAAGCAAAGATCAGATATTACAAGGGAGGAAAAATAAAAATAACATTTTCAAAAATGTTGAATATGTGTAAGTTGTAGAGCAAATTTGCTCTCTTTTTTAATTTATTTAAATTATAATGATTCCATCTAGAGTTGGAACTTTTAAGGAACTTAGTTTCATTAGTAATTTGTGGAACAACCATTCATTGGTTTAATCCAATTGAAGAGTTATATGGAGAAGTTAAAAGGATTCTTATAGCAGGTGGTTGTCTAGCAATATTTACCTATTCTAAATCTTTTATTACTGGATTGCCTAAACCTTTAAATCACCATCAGAACTTATTTTTTAATGTCATCTTTTAAGAAATCATCAGAAGTGAAATTTATATTTAATTAAAAGTCCAAAGCATTAACCCTGCTTAAAAAATGTCATCTCATACCAAGCTACCTAGTGATCTGGAGCATTTAGAGAAAAGCTAGATTTATCAGTAAAGGATACTCCATTATAAGAATTTGCTGTTGGATTCATCCATATACTACACCTTTCCAGTTCTTTTAGCCCTTCTTGACAGAGGGCAAACTTTGGATATCTCTTTGTAGTTTGCCCTTTGATACTCCTAGGCTTAAGTGATATTCCTATCACTTCCATCTTAGTTATTGTTTAGTAAATATATATAAGGTGGCAGTTTCCTGTAATCATCAGTTACTACTCAACTCTTGAATAAGACTCAAACATTACTAAATACATTTTATTTGGAAAACTCTGGGTTTTGCTGTTGGTTTTATTGAACTTAACATACAACAATCCGTGTACAACCTATCCAGGAAGAACCTTTAATTGTTCAATTGGTAAATGATTGGAAGGGACGAATTTGATGTTAACAAGCTAGAAATTCCTACAATTACAATATGATAAAGTACAGACACTATCAAATGTTCTAAATTTCTCCTACATTTATGCCTATTTGTAGAAATTATCGCAGAGTTTGACAAACAAGTAAACACAATATTTTTTTAATCATTGAATGAAAGAGTAAGTTTATTTTAAATAAGAGTCAGAGGCAAAATAATTAATATTCTATTTCTTGACATAGACATGACTTTGAGTTGAATACATCAATTTATCAACCTTGCTATACAATCTACAAGCATTGGAGTGAACAGAAACAGCAACGCATCCTGAAGTTCTACTGCAAAAGCTTGAACAGGATTGAGGATCGCCATTGAAAGATAATTTCATGAAATTACCATCAATACTTCGATGAGGATGTGTTTCAAAATTGAATATTTTTCGTACTGAAATTTATAATTAAATTTAAAAAAATACATACATCAAAAAGATAAAAAACACATTAATACCAGTTTTGTCCTTCCTGTACATGAGATTGTCACTTCTGCTTCTATATTGGTAACTAGGCAATAGTGTGTCTTTTAACCAGCACATCTTTCTTCTAAAGTTTATTGAGAAGGCTATGCACTTTGAATTGCTCTGACACCAAGCATGACACTTGGCTATTGTAGCATCAGTTATTATTTTTATATCATTTCCGGGTGATCCTTTTTTTTGAGTAATGTAATATTGGGGAAGAATATCTAAAATCATGAAATTTCTGGTTATAATTTCTATATTTAAAATTTTTTAAAAAATTTTCAAAAATACTTGCATTCAGTTTTTCTAATGTATAATTTTGCTCCAATATTCTCTGTGATACATGATTCTGGAATCTTGTCATAAAGATAGCATCTTCTATCTTTGTATGCATAGCCAGCGAGTGTATAAGATTTGGCATATTCAGCAATACATAATGGAAATCTTGAGACAAAGGTGGTTGCGATTGGCTTTGAACAGTACTTATTATTCATAATAGTCATATCGAAATGATAAGGTAGAGCTGAAGTAGGAAATAATTTAATTTAAAAAAAAAAGACAACACCAACAATTTCATACATAAAAAGTGAATAGTTAATATACCTGAAATATTGATGACAGCCATGCCCAATATGATTAAAAAGCTTACTGCTGACTTCATTTTTTCTTCTACTGGAAAAAATCTGGAATATTTCTAAACTTCAACTGCAATGTATTTATATAAAAAAATTCTATTGTCTTTCTTTCCAGCTTTCTTTATTACTTTGTGCTTTCTCTTTGTTAGTAGAAACTGGAGGAGTTTTAATATACAAAAAACTTCAAAAACCATTTTGAATGTCTAGCTGAGTGGAAATCATAAATTAAAAATACAAATGTTCTATTATTCTAAAACAGATGGCAAATAAAAATTTCTACATCTAATCCAATATAAAGGTCTTATGTATTGCAATGAAATAAAATAATTGTAAACAAGGTACTTAATCTATATTTAACTTTTTATTTACCTCAAAGCTGTACATTCTTTAGGTTAATTACAATTTAACAATAAAAGTTATTGAATTCTTAGTGGCACAATTTTTTCTTATTCAATGTCTAACATACATTAGCGTCATAGTAATTTTGTAATGTTTAAAATCTAAAGAGATTGCAAAAGGGCATTACTAAAATATGGTGTCCAGTCAATAGATGTAACATATTATTAAGTAGTTATTGTAACAAATTGTTTGGTTTTCTTCTGATTAGACAATCATCATTTGTTAATCTATTTCCGGTGTATTTTGGATATAATAAATATATTCAAACACTATAAATGATAAGAGGTAGAATAGAAAATAAAATTGATAGGCAAACTATGACGAATACAACAGAAAACAGCCCCAACAGAAAATGGCAGCAAATGAACAGAAAACGGCCTCAACTGAGACAGAAAATGGCCCGAACTGGAACAGAAAACGGCCACAGGATAATTCAACCTAAAATATATAAAACAAGAAATGAATTAAATTTTGAAAGTGCGTTTATTTGAACAGTTGAAGAGACTACAAGAGACTACAACTTAAAAGACCATGCAATTCAACAACAATTGATTTATTTATTGATCTTCTAAATAAAGTTCAGAACACTTTACAAGAACTTCTGATGAAGTAATCTCATGCTTTTCAAATCTTTCCCAAATTGAAAATAGTTTATTTTGCAGGTTCTTATCTTTTAATCAATAAGATCAGCAAGTTTATCAATTGATTTAAGGTAATCCTTAATTTTAATAACTCTATTGCTACAATTATATTATAGCAGTTGATTAATACACTGAAAAACAGTGAAATGAATATTAAATGCATTTCAGAGAAAATTTCAAGTTGAACTACCTTGAATAACAGATATTATGCTTTTTTCTTTTTTGATGACATGAATGCATATAGAAGAGGAACCTGTTTTAATTCACCTTCTTTTTTGATGAATGAGTGAAATGAAAATAACTGTGTAAATTGGTCCTTAACTTGCAATTGTCTTTTCCAAAGCATTTTCTTGAACAAAATCATTATAGAGGTTTGGTTGAGTAGAATAGGGATTCACCATATTTTCAGGAATTGTAGCTGCACCAGTTGATCAATGGTATTGCAATAATCTGTTACTGTACTTTGTTGTATTGTAATTGTAGGAATTTCTGCTTCTTCAGAACAGTATTTATGTCTAAGTGTATAGTTACCATCAACTATGGCTCCTCTACTCCTAATTCTCAAAATCAATTCGTTTTGTTTTTACAAGATACTCATCTACTTCCTTGCCTCTGGCTTTGTCATTTTCATGTACCAAAATAACATTCGTTGGAATATAATGAATATCCTTGTTTGGGCCAAAGAATCCAAAGAATATGAATTGAGCAAAATGAGCTGCTAGATCTAAATAAGAAGGTTTAAATAATTAGCTGATGGTCAAAGAACTAACTTGTCAATTGTTCACTTCATAGGTTCTTTTAAAGGTTGATGGTTGACCAATTTCAATGTTAACAAAAACAAAAGTAACATTTGAAGAGAAAGAAAATTTTTAAATATGCTCATCATTTTATTGTTTTCATCTTCTAAATAATAGTTGAATTTTGTGGGTTGGAGAGTTGCAAAACATGTAACAATTTTAATATGAGAAGTTCAACAATGAACCTAACCCTAACCCTGTCATCACTTTGCAATTGGTGAAATGTCTAGTTTACATATATTTTTAGTAACAGGATGTTACACAGTCTCACATTTAGGATGTACATCCAAGAATTTCTAACTATATTCTATTCTAGTCCAACAGAGGTTGGAATTTGGAAAATTGAAAATTTTTAGATTTCATCTGTAGAGAATATGTTATTTTAATCATAATTTGCATATTCATGCTTTTATTCTGGCATTAATAAATTCAATGACTCTCAATGAGACCTTTGCTAATGGATTTATTTCTCTATTACTTTGTATCAGCCATATTAGATAAATAATTTTACAAATTGATTGGTCACAATTGCATTTATACAAGCAGGTGTCGCCACTGCTTAAAATTTTACATTTAAGAAAATCACCACTCCATAAATCGCTAGCATGGAAATATTGATTATAGGCTTAAACATAAACCATTAGGAAAGGTCTCAACAATGAAATTTCACTACAATCAAAATTAACTCCTTGTACTTCTACTAAAACTTTTGTAGTTTTTGGCTGAAAAATTTGATATAAAAATTTCTGCTCAAAAGTTACTGATGTAAGATTTGAGCAAGTTGAATATCTCTCTGGAATTGTTAAACCTCCAAGTTCACATATACTATCAATCATCTTGAAAGATTCCTTTCCCAAATGGATATTTGGCTCTGGAATTACTGTTGATAAATTTGTAATTATTGAGCTGAATTTGAATGAACCAACACTCACAAGGTGACATAAAAGCTGAAGCAGTTTTGTCATTAAATGTAGATCCAGGATAGTAATAGTCAAGCATAATAGAGGGTGGACCCTCCTGAATAGAATATTGGTATTGGTTAGTTCTATATACTGAAGTTTGTAGAAAATGGCTAATAATCCAGATAAAAATTCCTATTTCATACCAAACATATCAAATTTTTACAACTTTTTTAAAAATATCATTAGGAATGTATCTTGAACTCTTAAAACAACAACCTAATTGCAAGCAATCACTTGAATTGATACCATTCCAACCACATTCAATTGTCTCATCAACAGGATGAGTACAAACTTTACAAACCATATAAGGATATAGGTTTAAAAAGATATAAAAAAATAACAGAAATCTACTGTAATCCTTCATAGACAGATGAATGTTGTGTTTTTTTCTGAAAACCAAAAAAATGGATACAATCTACCTTATTTTTAAACATCCTATTTAGAACTGTAGGTCAGACATTTACAATACAATATAAAGACTTTTCAGTATGTTATTGACTAAACCACAGACTTAATGTCATCTTTGTATAGTAATTTCTAGTTTTTATGTTTTAAATGAAGTAATTGAATAAGGAGGGGGAAATTCTTTTCGTTTGATAACTCTTCAGTTAGGGTTAGACTGACAAACACAAAAAATGAGAATTTTTTACTGCAGTTTCTAAATTAACATTTTTTTTTTGCCTAAACTCTATAGTATTTTATGCTAATCCAGCATAGGATTTCTTAGGCTTTATAATATCAGCCTAATCCTAGTTGACCCTCATCTGGATAGTTGACCTCCAATATAAATATGAATATTGCTAAAATCTATTATTATGATTTATGTTTAGAATTTATATTTACACTATATTTCATCCAAAAAATTGTGTTGTCAAGTTATAATTCAATTAGCCTTCCTAAAGTTGAACTTTCTAACATCCTCTTACTAAAGATAACCATCAACTAGATAGTTTGGCAGTTGTAAACTAATGATTTGATATAAGAGGCAACCCTCAAAGTATATCAATCTTCACTGTTTTCTTAAAACAAGTCTTCTCCTCAATATTGGACAGTAGTTTGGTAACTTGGCAACCTACTGTTACCCACAATCTATTAAGCTTTCATATTCTAATTGCTTAAGTATTTTATTTCGAATAAACAACTTCAATTTTAGCACATTGGTTTCAAAATGTTTATACTGCAAACAAATGATTCTGTTTAGAGCAAATGAAGGAGACACGCTGTTTATGTAAATTGTTAAGGAAGGATTAAAAAGAAGATATGATTTATTAACAAAAAATGGCTTTACATTTGCAAAGAAGAAGAAATCACATAGATAGACAACATGGTGCTGCAGTGAAAAAACAGGAAAGTATAAATGTTCAGTTATTGTTCTACAAAAGGATCACATTTTTCGTGGATAGAACATTCACAGTGTGTTCTGAACCATTTCAGCAACTTTTCATAATTCACTCATTCATAAACAAAAATGCAAATTAACCGTATTAACAAATGTAATTTTGGTAGAAATTAAACAACAAAACACCAGTATTTTGTCCAAAGGCTATGTATTGAGTAAATGCGTTTTTACTTCTAAACAAGCAAGTTTAAACAACCAGTTAATGGTTAAAGAACTGAACTGACAAGCTGTGGAAATGTATTTCCTTTTATGCATTTCCCAAAGCTTGGGTTCAATTGGTAAACTATATTTTACATTTGGTGTATTTTAACTGTAGGAATATCTGGTTCGTCACAACAGCATTGGTCCTTTCACTGTTTCTCTTAGTGTTTTATATCATGTTTTATCTGAAAAATGGATGTGTTAATAGTTATATTTTATAGGTGTTGTGCTTTGTAGACCAATATCTTATTCTTTATGGTTTAAAAATTAGGTCATTGATTCATTTTTGTGCATAAATTTTTCTAATTGTATTGTAGAATTTAGGATATTTGGTAAAGGTTTTCTAATGTTATTAACTAGAACTCATTTTTAATTTCAAAAGAGGTGACCTTGAAATGAAATTAGAATCTAGAATAGAGGTTAAAAACATTTGGAATTTAAAAGTTGATTAATATTAAATCATCGAAGGAATTTGAATTTTGCTTTTTTTATTATTTTGAAAATGACTGCCAATAATAATTCAAATTTGCGTTTTTTGTAAGATAATTCCATCTTCAAATACCAACAACACTGATATCGCATACAGACACTGCTGTTAGAGGATTCAATGACTTGTCATAATTAATCAGCCATTTTAAATAGATGATTTTACATATTGAATGACCACAATTGCAAATATAAGAACATTTTCCATTTTGACCATCCAGGGTACAGATAAGAAATTTTCCACTCCAAAGGTCATTTCTGTTAAAATATTGAGTATTAGCTTTAACATAAACCATTACGTAAGGTTCTGTATTAGAAAATGAACAATCAAAATTCACTCCACGTATTTCAACTTTAACTCTTGAATTTGCTGGTTCAAAAATTTGATATAAAAATTTCTGTTCAAAACTGTCAGAAGTTAAATTGTCGCAAGTGGAATATCTTTCCGGTTCCGTTAGACCACCTAATTTGCATATATTATCAATCATTCTGTACGAATGTATCCCCAAATTCAAGTGTACTTCCGGAATTACTGGAAAAACATGCAATATTTTGTGTTTGAAAAAGTTTATAAATTCAAGTATTCAAAACTGACATGGCGACATAAATGCTGAACTGGTTTTATCATTAAAATAGTAGGGATCACCTCCAATAATAATTTCGTCATCTCCTTCTATAGAATATTGATATTGGCTTGATCTGCATGTTTGTGACTGTACTTTGTCACTAATAATCCAAATATACATACCTAGAAAAACAACTGTTCAATTTTTTGATTTTGGTTTGTTAATTATTAGTTTTTTTTACCGGAAACTTGAGCTCTTGATGCTCTATTTCCAGGTGTACATTCATAGTACTTCTGTTTGGCATATTCAATTGGATGACCACTTGTCTTTGTATGCTCTATTAGCATAATTTCTCCTTATTTAAAAAAGAGATTTATTACAAATTTATTTCAACAATTCAAATGTCTGACATAGTGAAATTTGCATAAAAGTCAATTGTAAGAACCTTACCACCGGGCAGGAAACAGGGAATAGCATCATTTCCATTATAACAACAGCCAATATTTTGACAATTTGTTAATGATATTCCAGACCAACCGCATTCTATTCTTTCATTGACTGGTTGAGTGCAAATCATGGAACATATGGTTAGTCTAAAAAAAACAACTATTATGCAGAGATAATAAGTTTTCACTTCAGTTGTATTCCTCATTTTGTGTCTGATGTCTGAGTGGAATTTAAAAGGTGCACACCAGTCTAGATGTCAAGAGAAGAAGCTACATTCTTTTCTTTACTTGGAACTACCAATCTATATTGCGGCATGAATATATTACAGTTATCGCCTGCACTTCACAGAATATAATATATTTTGCTTTTACTCTTCTAAAAATAGCAAATATTTCTCAATTACTAAATGAATTTTGTTTGATAGGATATGAGAGATTGACCTTCAATATTTTAATCTTGGCAGACAACATTCGATTCTATTATCTGAATCCAATGTTTCAAAGTATGATTATTAAATTCTACAGCATGTCAATCGTGACTTTTAAATTATGGAAAAAGCCAACCTTTAAATTATGGAAAAAGCCAAATTTCTGTCAATTTTTTCTTTGAATGTTCAAGTTGTCAATTTTATCATTATCTTATTATTTCAAGTCCAAATACCTTCTCTACTTGATCAATGATTTTTGATTCTCAGTTAACTAGTAAACATTTCTTGTATATTTTAAATAAATGACATTGTAGTTGGCATTTCAACTTGGCTAATGTGGAGTACATTTGTCTATGGACTCTTGTCTTTTTTTAATTAATAAATGAAATTGAAAATCGTGATAAAGCATTAACAGATTTTAACAATTGTTCAGAAGATTATTGTTATTGTATTCCTATTATTAAAATTGCAAAAAACAGATATTTCTATCAATGGTAGGGAAAATTGCACAAGCCGAGCTGATGAAAAAATCTGCAATTTACCTATTAGAAAAGACAAAAACTATAATGATATAAATTGTTAAATTGCCATTCAAATGAGTACTATATTTTGGGAAATGGAACTGTTGAAAGCACCCATTTTGATATTATTCTTGGGTGAGACAAAACATCCAAGCAATTATATTTATAATTAGGAACAATGAAATCCTTTAAAAGTGGGTCCAAGGTTAGGGTTAGAGTTAGGGTTGTAGGCAATTTTAACAATAGCCTTTAGGCAAAATCAAAAAATTCTATAGAATTTCCATTCCTATTGTACAACTTTGGTTATATTTTACATGCTTGAACTCTATTATTTTATGCAACTTATACATGTACATCTTAAAACCTATGCAAGAAAATGCTATAACATTGGCCAAACATAAGTCTTATTAGTCAGCTTGAAGGCTCATCTTTAATTACCAATAAAGGTTTGGCCAAGTTATAATTTAATTAACTTGCCTAGGGTGTCGCCAAGTTATAATTCAATTAACCTTCCTAAATGTTCAACCTTGTAACATCCTCTTACTAAAGATAAATATGAACTACACATTTTGGCAACTGTAAAGTGATGATTGGATGTCAGAGGCAAACCTCAAAGTATATAAATCCTCACTATTCACATTTGGCCTGCAGCTTCCATCTGGACCCAAGGACCTGGGAAAATCATCTGGAAACAACCTCCACTGGAACCATCCATCTACTCCTCAACATTGGAAGACAGTTTGGTAATTTGGCAACCTGCTTTTATGAACTATCTACTCTGCCATCAAACTCTCATATTGTTACTTGCTTAAGTATTATTATTGCTAATAAACTGTTTTAATTTAAACATTTGTTTAAAGGTTCAAGTAGAACCAGTATTGTTATAACTTGCAAACACACAGATTTTGCCAGCAAGAGCAGTACAAATTTGGTGCAGTTGACAGGATAATATTTTGGTTTATTCAAAAGTTTAGAGAAAGTAAATATGGCAGAAGGAGGAAATGGAAATGCCACTGGGGCAGTTACAGACTCTAACCCTTCAACCCCAGCAACTCCTGTTTTAAAATATCTATGAGCATATAAAATGAGCCTTCTGCAGGAGTCTTTTCATATATTCTTATGTGCCATCCTTCACAATTCAGCCAGCAGGAATGTCAGAAAGGCAACAAAGACTAATTGAAGACTATGATAGATTGGTGAGTGAAATGAAAAGAAATTGAATCACAATTCCAACAGATCATGGAGATGGAACACATCACCCAGCACAGAACCCAAATGTTGATATCACAACAGTAATTCAAGCATTAAGGGCTGCTTGGGACCGCCCTCAAAGAACTATTCTCAAGTTGTATGATGGAAGCAAGGAGTGTTCAAAATTCAAAGAAGACTTTAATCAGGCATGTTATGCTTATGGTTGGATAGGAGAAGATGTTGTGAAAGCAAATCTTTTAGATTATTTAACTGGTCCTGCAAAGGATTTGGTGTTGGCTCTGGATGGAGAGACTACTGTGGAGGAAATATGGAAAGCCCTCCATGACGAATTTGATCTGGATCCTTTGGAGTATCAAGAGAAATTGCTTAACTTAAAGCAAATGAATGGCAAAAGTGTGGTTCAGTTTGTTAATAGAGCAAAGAAATTGATAAAGAGGTTTTCTCCACCTAGACCAATGGAACCACAATTGCTTGCAACTATGAAAGAAATAAAACTGATGGAAGTTTTACAAAGAGGATTACAACAGGATATTCTACATTTG